AAGGGTCTAGGCCCGAAACGTCAGCTTTCCTGCTCCTCTCATGCTGCCTGGCCTGCTGTGTTCATCCAGCTCTACACCTTGTTATCTCAGTTTCTGGCTGGAATTTGGTTTGGCAGTGAGGGTAAGAATTTCCATTGATCAGGTTGATGTGGCTGGGGACTGGAGTGGAATTTCTGTTCCGCGATCCTCATTTTGTGGGTTCAGTGCTTTTCGGGCTTTTGGAGAATCAGGGGTGCGAGGCGGACGGAGTTACCTTTTGTGCCCGTCGCTTGTCTGCTCGCTGGTTCTGATGGTAGATCCTGCTGAAGTTAGACACGATGACTGGCACAGGTAGAGCAATCACCAGCACACCACTCAAGGAGCAGATGGAGCCAAAAATCTTCCCAGCGATTGTCTTTGGTACCATGTCACCATAGCTACGGGAGAAAGAGAAGATTACATTAGAATAGAGAAACTTACACCAGATGGGGAGTAATGGTTCATGAAGGAGGCTTATTCCTCTACGAATATATGAAAAGTCAAATTAGAAGCAGAAGTAGGCCATTCAGCCCCTCAAACCTGTTCTGCCATTCAATAGGATCCTAGCTTAGTTGTTTATATTTTGACTTCCATATTTCCACCTATTCCCCAACAACTTTTCATTCCCTTGCCTAACTCTGTCTTAAAAATATTCAATGACCCTGACTTTGCAAATCTACTGGGGCAAAGAGTTCTAAAGTCATACAGCTCTCTGAGAGGAAAAGAAATATTCTCTTCACCTCTATCCTCTGACCAACCTCAAGGGCAATTAGGGATGCGCAACAAATTTTGGCCTGGCTAGTGAGACTGGCATCCAGTGAGAGAATGGGGAATAGCCCACTTTCTCATCATTTCCCTTGGTCCCTTTCAGTTATCACATTCGCCCACTTCACTCTATCACTTGTCTCCCCAATATCTGTGTCTCATGGACAAGGCACGAGGCGGGAGTGTGACGGAATAATCTCCACTTCTCTGGATGACTGCAGCTCCAGCAACACTCAAGAACATAGAACTGTACAGCACAAGAACAAGCCCTTTGGCCCATCTATGCTGACCATGATGCCATTCTAGACTAATCTGGTCTGCCTGTATGCTCAACACTACCCAGCGGAGAGAAACCTCCTGGATTGACATCTCATTCACTACCTTCAATATTTATTCTCTGCATCAGTCATAGGTAGTGTGGTGTACAATGTACATGATGTACTCAAGCAACATCGCGAGGCATGGCTTAGCAAAGTAAGGATCAGGAATTCAGGTGAGGCTGAGGCAGCAATGACTATATGGAGCTCTGACTGAGTTATAACATCCATGCTCCCACAGAATCACAGAAGTGTTCACAGAATCATAGAATCCCTACAGTGCGGAGGCAGGCCATTCAGCCCATTGAGCCCATACCGACCCTCCAAAGAGCATCCCACCCAGAACCACCCCCCTACACCATCCCTGTAACCCTGCATTTCCCATGGCTAATATACCTAACCTACACATCCCTGGATACTACGGGCAATTTAGCATGGCCAATCCACCCTAACCTGCACATCTCTGGACTGTGGGAGGAAACCGGAGCATCCGGAGGAAACCCGCACAGACATGGGGTGAGCGTGCAAACTCCACACAGACAGTCGCCCGAGGGTGGAATCAAACCCAGGACCCTGGCGCTGTAGTGTTAATCACTGAGCCACAATGCAGCCCCAAAATGTTGTGGCAAAGAAGGAGGTCATTTAGCTCCTCATGTCTGGCCCCACTCTAAGAGACTCCTGCTCTCGTAGGCCCCCACCCTGCACCACGTCTGTTCCCACACACACAAGTCTTAACTTGGAACTTTCGTGCCATTTCCTCCATATTACTCCTAGCCTCTCTGTGGGTGTCACTACACTACCTGGACTATATTGAGCCAAGGAGGTGGCTGACCACCACCTTCTCAAGGCCAATTAGGGACTGGTAATAAATGCTGGACCAACCAGTGATAATATCCTAAGAATGAATGAAAGAGAAACCTTACATCTCCATTAGGTTATAGAGATAACAAGGTGTAGAGCTGGATGAACACAGCATCAGAGGAGCAGAAAAGCTGACATTTCGGTTCATCTCCATTAGGTTCCCGCTTTTTTGTTTCTACAGGACCCTCTCATGCCTAAAATCATGTCACTTGACCTTCCATACCAGTCTCTGTAGGTCCTATCTGTAGGCATTTGGTACTGAGTAACGGTGGGGCTCATTGGGCGATACTCCAGAGAAGACAATATTCATTTTCTTTTCAAAAACTCATTGGTTCACATAGCCACTGAAAGCTGTTTCAGATATAACTTAATTCTATCAACCTGGGTTAGAATTGGATCCAGGTATTGGCAGTGAGAGGTCCCAAAGCCCGTCTCTCTCACTCTGGACAGATATTTGCATTCTTTTCGTACAAATCATTCACCGACACTCAGTTACACTGAGTAAAATATTCCATTATTTTATTGCTGGTAATCCACTCCCAGCTATTTGTTTATTCTATGTAAAAACTTCCAGAACTCCCCCTTGAGATTCCAGCCTGCAACTTCTTTATTTATCTAACCTTTGATCTCTGCTATTGATGCCTGGTGTCTAATCTTTTACTCTTCTGCTTTTATTCCCATGATGAAGGGAAGCCTGCAGACGTTGCTGAGATTCTGAATGACAGGATTAAATGATGGCAGCTGCTGTCCCATGTCACTGTCTCTCATTATCTTTTCTCATGTTTGGGGATCACACGTGGTCAGGACCTGTCATTTAAGTTTGGCTTCAGGTCAAAGGAAACTTATTGACTGATGGCTGAAGCGCCCTAACTTACCAATTCCCATTTCCTTGCTTGTTAAAGTGAGTGACTTCAGCAAATTGAGAAGCCCTGTAGGTGTTTCAGGGGTTTTGTGTGAGCATGCTTCATTTCAATATGTCAAAAGACATTTTCCTCAGCTGTTTCCAACACCAGCACAATCCCCTCTTCAACAACCTCACCCAACCCAATTTCTCCAATTTATTTTGATTCTAAGACTACACGTGCATCACCACTTTGGATTTTTCTGACAGGTTTTTTTTATTTACCTGTGGGATGTGGGTGCCCCTGGCTGGCCTTCATTTATTGCTTGTCCCTATCTGCCTTTGAACTGAGTGGCTTTGCTAGACCATTTCAGAGGGCAGTTGAGAATGAACCCCATTGCTGTGGGTCTGGAGTCACGTGTAGGCCAGACCAGGTAAGGATGGCAGATTTCCTTCTATGAAGGAAGGACATCAGTGAACCAGATGGATTTTTCTTGACAATTGACAATGGTTTCATGGCCATCAGCAGATTCTTAATCTACTATTAAATTCAAATTCCACCAGCTCCCCTAGTGGGATTTGAACCCAGGTCCCCAGAACATTAGCTGAGTTTCTGGCTAGCAATAATACCACTAGGCCATCGCCTCCCCAATTATGGGCCAATTCTGATACTAAATGTATTGGAAACACAGTTTCTGAGCACAGTCTGATTTCTGTTGCCCTTCCCCTGAAATTTAGACCTTCCCTATTTTCCAATTGTCTAACCTTTTCATTCTACATAATAACTTCCACTTATAGTTCAACATTCCAGGGTGCTTCACAGAAGTGTTACTCGGGAGAATTTGGCACCGAATCAGATTAAGGTATTTTAGATCAGTTTATCAAGATAGGGTTTAGTAGATATCACGACGAGCCCCTGAGGTAGATTGCAATTTATCTCAATGGTCATGTGTTAGAGACTATGCCAGAAGGTTGGAACTAGTGTAGCTCAGAGCAAAGACCTCTCCTTGGAGAGAAGAAGGCTAAGAGTCCTGACAGAGGTCACCAAAATCATGAGCTGCCTCACAGTGCCAGGGACCCAGGTTCGATACCAACCTCGGGCAACTGTCTGTATGGAGTTTGCACGTCCTCTCCATGTCTGTGTGTGTTTCCTGCAAGTGCTCCGGTTTCCTCCCACAGTCCAAAGATGTGCAGGCTAGGTGAATTGACTGTGCTACAGTGCCCAGGGATGTGTCAGCTAGGTGGGTTAGCAGGAATTGGTGGGGCGGGGTTTGGGTGGGATGCTCTTTGGAGGGTCAGTGTGGATTTGATTTGAATGGCCTGCTTCCACACTGTATGGGTTCTGTGAAAGTGGGAAAGCAGAGCATTTGAAAGGTTTAGGAAGGGGTGTCAGACCTTAAGTGAGGACTTGGCAGCTGAAGACACGCCTGCTAATCATGAAGATATCCTTTATACCTTTATCATCCTTGTTTGTCCCAATAGGGTACAGTTCTCCTGGCGATCAAACTCCCAAACATGCTCATGGGGCTACTATCTGCGTCTGTGTGTCAATCACGAATGTTTGTTTTTTCTTCCCTGGAGCGTGAAGAAGCACAGAAGCCAGATCTGTTTCTCTTTCTGTCCCATGTGCACCTTCATTGCGTCAGCCCCACGTGAGGATGGCTCAGCTCTTTCAGATGTATTACAGAATTCTGTTCGTCTTTTACTCATCAAGGTCATGTTAGCATTGGACCAGCCTTCCCCCTGATTTTGGAATAAGATTAATTTAGGTTTGGAACAGTCTCTCAGAATAGAAGATTATTCACCAGAGCACTCCAAAGAAAACATGGCAGTCACAAATAATTTGTAATTTTTCAATTTTGGCATAAAATGATTGTTTGATGGGAATTGGGGATGGGAGGACGGGAATGCTGTTACACTAACTATAAAAATTAACCCTATCAGGTGACAGGGTTCTTTTTTACTGTTGGTTTTTAGATTATAACTGACAACAACAGTATTTACTGCTCCTGAACTGAGTGGTTTGCTCGGCCAATCAGAAGGCAGTTAAGGGGCAACCATGTTGCTGTGGGTTTGGAGTAACATGTAGGCCTGACCAGGTAAAGATGGGAGATTTCCTTCCCTAAAGGGCATTCATGATCCAGACATAAAAACAGAAATTGCTGGAGAAACTCAGCAAATCTGACAGCATCTGTGGAGAGAAAGCAGTGTCAACATTTCAGGTCCAATGACCGTTCTGCAGAACCAGATGATTTTTTTAATGACAATTTTGTATTTTCATGAACACCTTTACCCCAGCTAACATTTTAATTCCAGTTTTGTTTATAAACTGGGTTTAATTTTCCTAATGCCCCTCCAGTCGGATTCGAACTCATAACTCCAGAACTTTTGTCTAGACTTTTGCATTATGCATCCAGCACATAACCACTACGGTTACCAACCCTGTATCATTGGTTGTGATGTGCTGTGGCACCAAGCCAATTCACCAATGGCAGGAGTGCTTGAGGGTAGGGGGTGGGTTGGGGTGAAGGTCACATGATGTCACCTCTGAGAATATAGCCAATCAGAGTTCACAACGCAGCCATCACTCTGTTACATCAATGTAACAGAGAAA